ATTAAATGTTAAAATATATATAATAAAAACAATTTTGGCATAAACTAATTAATTAATATAAACCAAGAGTTTAAGTTCCCACAGCATCACACCAATGTTATTAAGATACTGCACTGAACGAAATGTTATTTGAGGACCTGCTGTATATGTAAAAAAAGAAAAAAGCTACATTTTTATTTAAATATAAGGTGAAGGGGAGCATATAGAAATGGTAAATTCCATGTGTATGTTTAATAAATCAGGAAAATGGAGGGAGGGAGGCTTGCTAAAAGGGCATATTAAATATTTACATGAGAACTGAAAAGATAGGGTCAGGTGACCTCAGATTGAATAGGGAGCCAGAAGAGCTTTAGGACTGCTGCTGCCTAGATGAATGAGAACAAGATGATGGGGACACTAATAAGAATGTAGTAGGATAAGAAGCCAGCTTTGTGAAGACAGAAGAACCCCATTTTAGGGAAGCAGTATTTTAAGAGCTAGAGATATGGAAACAGGTAAACTAACCCAAGTCCAACAACTTGCTCATTTCACCCTAGCCTCACAAAACCACCAGTGGTTTAATACTCTAGACCAGCAGTTCTCAACCTGTGGGTCGCGACCCTTTGGGAGTTGAACGACCCTTTCACAGGGGTCGCCTAAGACCATTGGAAAACACAAATATAATTACATGTTGTTTTTGTGATTAATCACTATGCTTTAATTATGTTTAATTTGTAATAATGAAATTGGGGGTCACTACAACATGAGGAACTGTATTAAAGGGTCGCGGCATTAGGAAGGTTGAGAACCACTGCTCTAGACCAAGCATGTCAAACTCATGCTTGGAGAGTCCATGCTAACAGGGGCCAAATAAACAAGGCATGCAGTCCATGGACCGTGAGTTTGACATGCTTGCTCTAGACCAGTGAGTGTCCACCAATGTGCAGCAAGAGGCACACTGGTGTGCTTTAAGAATATTTAAAACATGCAATACTTGACTAGTTAGTTAGGGGCACTGACCTCTTTTCCCTTAGATTGTCCAATAAAAAAAATAACAGCCAATGCAACAATAGCTGTCCAGGTGAATAAATCAAAATTATATCTATTTATGGGGTCAGATCATCAAAAAATCTATTTTTCTGGTGTGCTGCAGAATTTTAGTAACTAGTTTATGTATGCCATGAAATGAAAAGGGTGAAAATTGCTGCTCTAGACACTTTCTTAAGAATTATTGAAGCAGTCCTAAATACTACCCTGATGTAGTCAGTTCTACAGGATTTCAGTTTTTCTTAGCTTTTCATCAAGCAGTTAATTCCCTGAAGACACGACAGGGCAGTGGGGTTGGGGCCATTTAGGTAGGCTTCAATTTATCCACTCTAACATTATGAAGCGTCTACAGTGTGCCAGCAACTTGAGAGACAATCCCAGAGAGTGCATATGCACATAATAAAATATACATTCTGCTATCAACCAAATAAAAAAAATCAAATGTCAGAAATATTCTTTGAGCTAAAGTTCCCTTGAGATACTTTTGACACTAATTTAAAGTTGGAGGGACTATTAACTAAACAACTAAGCTGTGTTAGATAAAAGCACTTTCTGAAACAGGTTAAAAATAAGAGAGAAGCTCATTTGAGACCTTAGTTCAGGGGTCCTCAAACTATGGCCCGTGGGCCACATGCAAATACAAATATTGTATTTGTTCCCGTTTTGTTTTTTTACTTCAAAATAAGATATGTGCAGTGTGCACAGGAATTTGTTCATAGTTTTTTTTTAAACTATAGTCCGACCCTCCAACGGTCTGAGGGACAGTGAACTGGCCCCCTGTTTAAAAAGTTTGAGAACCCCTGTCTTAGTTAGTTTGGTATAGTACCTCTTCCAAATAACTTCTTTACCCCAGTTTTCTTGTTATATTTCAAAGCTTTATTTTATAACAAAACTTAAAATTGACCATAAAAATACTTCATAAATACTGATAGCTTTATAAAAGTTTAATAACAATTCTAAAGTGTTACAGGAAGACAACCCTCTCGAGGCTACACTATTCATGCAGAAGCAGTGGATATAAAACAGGAAACAGATGATACAGGTGGCAGACCGGGCAAACTCCTCCTCCCCATTAGATTAGAAGGTCTGTGCTGCAAACTCCAGGTCATACCAACCCACCACTGAGCAATGATATTCCCTGCTCATTACCACTTCTTACTGTCCCTTGGGGACAGTCCATTGATTTTTAAAACAATATATGAGTTTTTAAGGTAATAAATGACATCCTCAGTATTAGGAAATCCGACTTTCAACTCCAAGTATGATCAAAATCCTCTGCAGACAAATCATTTTTCTTCACTCAGATCAACTGAATATCTGAATGTCCACGAAGTATACAGTATAGTGGGAACAAACCTAAGATTCAGTTTCTGTTCTCAAGGGAGCTGACAATTCACCTGAAGGAGAATTAGCAAGGATAAGTCCTATTCCAAACAAAGGACTGCAGAAAATTCAGGAGATAGCAATGAGGGCAGTCTCTGCAGAATGGATCAACAGGAAGTTGGACTCTACTTTCCAGATAGTAGATAGGGAGAGCACTGAACTCTTAAGATGATAACGTGTTAAGCAAAGATACATAGGAATGAAAGGAGACTAAAGGGTGACCATAAGAAAAAAACTGAAAGATTATAAATCATTAGGGCTGGGATTAGATGTAATAAGTAGGTGAAAGAGAAAATTAAGTGTTCAAGACTTATTTCCAAAGTATAAAAGTTAATGAAAAATGAAGGACACATGCTGTTATTTCTGGGAAAATATTTTTATGATTATTTCTAGGCCCATTAGAAACTATACACAATTTAAGCACTGTTGCTGTTAATCTTAAAACTTCAAGACCAATGGCAAGATACCAAGAAGTAGTAACCTCTCACTTTGGTATTTGGACCATTAGGTATTCTTCTATTACCTCTAGGTGATAACTGACATTAATTTCATTAGGGCTGATGAACAACTCTGGTCTTTCAGTTGCCATTCAGAAACATTTATTAGTACATATAATTTGGCATGTGGCACTATGCTAGACCCTACATAAAAACACAATAAGACTATCTTTATAAGAGTAAAATACAAGTAAGCAACAAAGACAGAACCCATTGAGCATGCTTAAAGGAAAAATAGTCAAAATGTGTAACCTAGTTCCCAGACAATAATAAAAAAAGTTAAGCTCTCAAAAGTCAAGCCCTTATTTCACTTACACCATCTATTATTAATATCTTACATTAAGTAAGACATACTAGTTATAATCACTGGTACATTGTTAACTAAAGTTCAGTTTATTAATATTTCCTTAGTGTTTACCTAGTGTCCTTTTTTCTGTTCCAGGAATCCACCTAAGATGCCACACTAATTTTAATTGTAGTGTTTTTGTTTTTTTTACGAACCCAACACAACTTGGATTAAGGCACTTTACTATTTCCAAGTAGATCTCCCTCTAATATATGCATTTCAAAACTAAATCCCTTCATCTTGATAACTGCTCATTTACTACAGGATGTTCATGGAAGCCTCTGCAGGAGATCTGTCCTATACACTGCTTTCATCTCCCAATTATACTACCTGGTACTTACCAAGGGGGGAAGCAATGAAGTCACAAGCCTAGCAACTACTTTAGCATCACAAATATATACTTCTTAAAAAAGAAATATAGCCCTGACCGGTTTGGCTCAGTGGATAGAGCATCGGCCTGCGGACTGAGGGGTCCGGGGTTTGATTCCGGTCAAGGGCATGTACCTTGGTTGTAGGCACATCCCCAGCGGAGGGTGTGCAGGAGGCAGCTGATCGATGTTTCTCTCTCATCACTGATGCTTCTCTCTCTCCCTCTCCAGAGCATCGGTCTGCGGACTGTGGACTGAAGGGTCCAGGTTCAATTCTGGTCAAGGGCATGTACCTTGGTTGTGGTATTCCTGTTAAGTTTTCCCTTTTTATCAGAGACCTACACTGATCTTTTCATTGGCCTTAGCATAAATCAAGGGGGCACTAAAATGAATTACTACTCATGCTTCACTTGTAGTATTTAAGGGGGGGAGAAGCTAGCTTCAGTAAAGAATGTCCTTGATAAAGCAGTAAAAATTAATTATATTAAATTGTGACCCACTTTTTAATATCTCATGTTACGAGATGGGGACAAAACACTTCTGCTACTTACAGAAGTACGATGGTTATCTCCAGGAAAAGCACTCATGTGAGTTACAAGCTGTACTAGCTATTTGTTTCATGAAACATCATTTTTACCCAAAAGAAATGACAAACTGGTTATGCAGACGGGTATCTGGCAGACATTTTCCTGAAAATGAAGTGAGTATGTCACTTCAAGGAGAACAACTGTAACAGTACCTGTTGCCAATGATAAAATGAAGGCTTTCAAGCAAAAAACGAGAACTTGAGAAAACTTGTACTCATCAACATAAGCTTGGCAGACTCCCAATACCTGAAATTTTCAGATGAAAATTGATGGTGATAGCAATAAACATGATTTTTGAGACGGTATAAAGGAATGTGTCAACATTTGGAAGATCTGCATAATTCAGTCTACTGGCATTGCCTAAATGACCCTTGTGTATCATTTCATTCAAAATATAAGGCACATTCTCTCTGGCTGGTGTGGCTCAGTTGATTGAGCCTCATCCCATGCACTGGAAGGCCACAGGTTCAATTCCCAGTCAGTATGTGTATGGGAAGGAACCGACAGATATTTCTCTCTCCTCCCTCCTTTCTCTAAAATCAATAAAAAATATATACTTCTTAAAAAAGAAATATGGCCCTAACTGGTTTGGCTCAGTGGATAGAGCGTCGGCCTGCAGACCGAGGGGTCCAGGTTTGATTCTGGTCAAGGGCATGTACCTTGGTTATGGGCACATCCCCAGTGGGGGGTGTGCAGGAGGCAGCTGATCAATGTATCTCTCTCATCGATGCTTCTAACTCTCTATTCCTCTCTCTTCCTCTCTGTAAAAAATCAATAAAATATGTATTTTTTAAAAAAGAGATATATATTTCTTAATGTAACAGTATGAAGAGTCCACTGATCAAGTTTCAGATTATACATTGCAACTAACCTTTATGGAAACTGCCGCTTGTTCAGTTTTGGTATAGCAGCAAATAAGAATAACCACAATTACCTGAAAAGGCTATTAAAATACTCCCCTTTCGAACTTATCTGTGTAAGGCTGGAAAATATATACCTTTGTTCACATACCTATGTCAACCAAAACCTAACTCAGAAGCAGGTATGAGAAATCAACTATCTTCTATTAAGCCAGTTCAAAAGGCTCCAAAAATCAATTAATTAATTACAGAAGAATGAGTGTAGAATAAGGGAAACCAGTCTCCATCTACCCTAGACAATGCTTACTGGAGGTGCTGTATTTTCAATGGAGTATCAACATGTTGGAGTACATCCAAAGGGCCCCGCCAAGAAGAAACATTTAGAAACCATGACATGGGGAAAACTTCAAAGAATCTAGGACATTGCATTTTAAAAGACGACTTTAATGAAAAGGTTAAGAGGCAGGGCAGGCTCTCTGGACCAACTCTTCCATTTCTTAGGGGAAGCTGGGAACTGATCTTGGACTGACATCCCCCAAAATATTCTGCTTTGGCCTTAACTGGTTTGGCTCAGTGGACAGAGCATCGCAACTTTGGCCTGCGGACTGAAGGGTCCCAGGTTCGATTCCGGTTAAGGGCATATACCTTGGTTGCGGACACATCCCCAGTAGGGAGTGTGCAGGAGGCAGCTGAATTGATGTTTCTCTCTCATCGGTGTTTCTCACTCTCTATCCCTCTCCCTTCCTCTGTAAAAAATCAGTAAAATATATTTTAAAACAACAACAAAAAACATTCTGCTTTGGATGTTCTAATTTGGATGTCATAATTCAAGACTTCCCAGAATACTAAGGTTAATTTCAGACAGAAATATAAATGTGAAAAATATACTAAAAAAGTTTTTAGAAATCTCAGAGGCATTTATAGTAAACATTCCAAGCATAAATTCTGTAACAAACCAACAATTTCAAAGAACAAATTACTTAATACTCACTTAAAATACCCATTGTATCCTAGAGGAACAGATTTCTTACTTGGATTTAGATATATAGCCAGGTGAGTAAAAACTCACTTTAGTTAACTCAACAGAACTTTTCCCACTCCACTAACCTCAAGGAAAATATTTTAAGAATTAAAAAAAAATTATAAACCAATAGCTACTAATTATTAAGCATTTTTATGTACTAGATATTGTCACACACACACACACACACACACACACACACACACACACACACACACCCCTCATTTAATACTCCCAAGAACCATACAGAGGAGTTTCTATCTTACATGTGGAGAAAATGAGGCTGAGAGAGGTAAGGGAATTTGTTCCAGGTCACACAGCTAACACATGGCTGAGCTTACATTCAAGCTCTGGTCTGCCTGATTATGAATCTAGGGCTTCTGCCTGAACTGTCTCCCAGATTCTTTTTGGTAAAACCAAGTATTTTTGGTAACACTTTTCACAGAGGATGATTTGGAATCAAGCACACTGGGAGACTGGGGAGTGGAGAGAAGGATGACAACAAAGCCCAACAACTTGACATTTGATATGTAAACAGAATTTTCCCCTCATTGATTTTTTTTTAGAGAGACTGGAAGGGAGGAAGAAGGAGAAGGAGAGAGGAAGCGGGGGTGGGGGTGGGGGTGGGAACCCCTGACTAGGAATCGGACTGAGACCCTTTGGTGCATGGGCTGACACTCCAACCACTCGGTAACACCGGCCAGGGCAGTAAACAGAATTTTAAAGTCAGCTTTTCAATACCTTTACAAGTCCTGGCATCAGAGGAAATAGCCACTATTTTTATACACTGCTTTCTTTTCAATTTTAAGTTAAAATATGCTTAGAAATTTAGAGATGCCAAGCTAAGCCTTACAAGACTCGATTGGTGGTTTTAGGTTAAACACTCAAAAGGCTTTACAGTCAGAAATGTAAAATCAGTATTGCTCTCCACTTTACTGGCAACGGCAAATGAAAAACTGGAGCCTCAATGATAATTTAGCAAACTAGGGAAAAAAAATCCACACAAAAAAACAAACAAACCCCAAAATACATGCAAGATCTGGTACAAGCAACTCTCTGATAATTTGGGGAAAAAATTTTTTTCATCCTCACCTGAGGATATTTTAACACTGATGTGTGTGTGAGAGAGAGAGATCTATTGGGTCAGGACGGGAATTGAACCTGCGACCTTTTGGTCGCAGGGCTAATGCTCTAACAACTGAGCAAACTGGCCAGGGTGATAATTTGGAATGTTTTGACTTGCTTTTTGAGCAACAATGTAGCCTCTGGTTCTCTTTTTGGCTGCTGGGGACATGCCTTTACAGGCTGGGAAAACAAAGCAGTTGTTCAATATTGCTTACAAGTGCACTGGTTATTACATATGACTATAAAATAAACTTATGGGGAAGGTGTAATTATAAAAGCCAAGTTTTTAGATTGTGACTGTACATTTCAAACTTGAATTTTTTTCACCTGTGACCCAAGTGGTTTAGAGTTAGGGCATCTCATCTAGCTGAGGTGTTTTAGACTAGAGCAGCGGTCACCAACCTTTCAGACCTCACAGACCACTGGTTGGCAACCGCTGCCCCAAAGGTTTCCTTAAACCAGTGGTTGCCAACCTTTCAGACCTCATGGACCACTGATGGTCCACAGACTACCGGACTAGAGGGAAGGTGATTTACAAAAGTACTAAGCAAAGCAATATAAGACTGGCTTTCTTTCCATCGATGGTATAATTTTATATAATGCTTAAGAATTGTATTTGAACATAAGCAACAACACCAAAACATTTATTGGTGTGAACATAATTCAAATAACAATTGAAGTTATCGTTAAAGAATATCTGATCAGCTAATTATCCTACCATCTTGCTAAAATTTCAGAAATCCCAGTAACATAAAATTAAATCAATATTGATGAAATTAAAATAACATTTACTGGAAAAGGAAAGCTTTGGTACAGACCACAATACTACAAGTCTGGTCTTCTGTGAAATTTCTGTACTCACTCCAGACATTATCTAAATGAACACATAATTCACCAATAGGTTTTTAAGAATCTGAGCAATATTTCCTATGTACTTTTACATGAATATGAAGTCAAATGGAAAACTTCAAGCTCTTATGTAGAAGGTGCTTAACAGTAAAGGGACTTTTTAAAAAAATATATTTTATTGATTTTTTACAGAGAGGAAGGGAGAGGGATAGAGAGTTAGAAACATCGATGAGAGAGAAACATTGATCAGCTGCGTCCTGCACACTCCCTACTGGCTATGTGCCCGCAACCAAGGTACATGCCCTTGACCGGAATTGAACCCAGGACCCTTGAGTCGCAGGCCCACACACCATCCACTGAGCCTAACCAATTAGGGCTAAAGGGACTTTTTATTAGGAGGCTTAGGTGATGTAGAGTGCTAGCCACTGTTCTCTCATACCAGTTTTTGGAGAACATCTGGGCATATGGCTAACATTTTCATTTGTCTTTTGATATTTGAAATAGCATATTAAGAGAATTTTATTCCTTTTTTTTTTTTAAATCCTTACCAGAGGATATTTCCCCCACTGATTCTTTTAGAGATAGTGGGAGGGAGTTGGGCCGAGAGAGAAACATCACTATGAGACATATTGAACCTGCAACCCAGGTCCATGCCCTTGACAGAGAATCTAACCAGAGAACCTGTGGTGCACCAGCCAACACTGACCAGGGCAAGAGAATTTTTCTTTTGTTCACTTTGCATTATGCTAGTCACTCCAACTGTCAAAACTGACAGCCACTAAAAGTCTAACTCAAACACCTCAAGTCACCAGAAGAGATGGCAAGTTTGTGAAAAGGCAGAATTCAAAAAAAAAAAAAAGGTCCCGGGGGCTCAGGATGATATGACTCGCTTCCAATGAAAACTCCTTGGGTCTGCCTCATATTGAACTACTTACTCTGTTTAAGAGCAGTTTCCCTGGGTACTTTTAAATGAAAGTAAAAATAATAATAATCCTAGTTATTAAATTCCTAGTACAAATCTGATGTCTAGAAACCTACCCCAAAGGCAACAATTTCACACGTCATCCAACATCTATTTCTTTTTTTATTAGCAAATAAAATATCCTTTGAAATAACAGGTGGCTCCACTTCCACGTTAGGGCGTAATGAATGGTACCGGGTCCTCTCCCAAACGCAAACAAGCCTGTTTGGAGGCATTCCCAAGCCAAGGCATTAAGAGATCATGCTTCACCAAAACAAAGATACTCTGGGGACTGAAACCCGGGAGGCGGGACACCTCGGTAGGTACAATTGTGGTGTTATCCTGGGAAAGCAATCTTCCTGTGAAAGCACACAAAAGGCTAAGTGTGTCCTTGACAAACAGCAAGACGTGTATAGCCCACCTTCTAAATTCCGCAAGAGGTAATTTGTATTAAAGTGAACGATTTTTTTTTTCTTTTGAACAAGGCGCCCCCGTTATATATAGTCTCTAGTTGGCCAGAATCAGAATGAGGCTAAAAGCGATTCCTCCTCTAGGTCAGAACGAGAAACTAGGGAGAAATAAAAATTTCTGCCAGCGAGCACGTAGCAACTGTCAATAATAGGAAAGGCTCTGATGTATCTGTTTTGGTTGGTCCCCCCCTCTCCCGACGTGGATCGGGCCATCCCCGGCTCCAGCGGCCACGGAAGGGGAAGGGGGTCGCTCCTCTCTCGGCCTCCCGACGTGGCCCAGGCGGCTGGCCTCCGGGCAGTTTTTTAGTCACAGATAAGTATCATGTCATTTTAGTGCTTGTTGCTTAAGAGAAGTCCAAACCAACTTTTATATTTATTTTTTAGGTAGCTTTGGTCCCTACCCTCACCCCTTCAGTAATGCTTATAGCTTCTTGTTTTA